TTTTTTTCATATTTGTAGTTAAATCACGTCAGACATTATTTGAATTGCAAATTATCATAGTATCTGTTGCGCGTGACTTTGACGGCATGCATTGATTATAATGAGCAAATATATCTCATTGTGATGATTATCTATATGTAATCTAGCTATATTTCATTGCGTATTTCAAATTTCTTATACAGTAGATAGATATGATATTTTGATTTCCTTACTACTTTTCATTTCAATAATAACAAAGTTCAAGAACTTTTGAAGAGGTTCATAATGGTGATTAAGTATTTCGCAATCCTTTACTAATAGATGGGGTGTGGGTATGGATGCGGGTAGAGGTGTTAGCCGATCATATGATCAGCGGCGGCGGCGAAAAAAGTTTTAAGGCATCGGCGGCGATGACAAAATTTTTCCTATGTTATTTTACAGGATCTTTCGTAGGTATCTAGCGTTAAGACAAACATTAGACGCTCTGTTCTCACAGAATTATAACACTGTTTTCCTCTTAGCACGCTCATATCTTTTTATGCAAAAATTTTTCCAGTAGATGTAACTTTATTTTCATTAATTCAAAAAATTCACACTATTCCATCATAAAATAACTTCAAACCACATAACAGTAACTCATGATATAAGCCAAAATGGCAATAATGTGACTATCCATCTAAAATGCAAATTAAATTCAAACATGGTAGCTTAGGGCTGGTACTTTATCTTTACTTTAACCTGTAAAGAGAATATACTTATGCAAAAAGTAAAGTAAAGTAAAATGAAAAAAAAAATGAAGTTGTATGTTTTAAATTTTTTGGCAATTTCTTAGTTCAGGATCGTATATAAATAATCTTACAACGCATCAAAGTTTATTCAATATCGTTTCATCTTAAAATTAGCGTAAAAAAATAAGTAAAGCTGAAAAATGTCGATTTTTTTTATAAATACATGAAAAATATTGTTTGGTTAACTTTATCTCACTTTATTTTCCACATTCAAACTATAGTATTTTAGTTTACTCTACTTTACTTTACTTATTCAAAGTAAAATAAAGATAATGTGCTACCCCTATTGTAGCTTGAATTGGATCATAAGTGAAACTAACATTGAAATTAGAATTTGAATCCAAATTTAAATCGATACTTTTCTGTGAGTTGAGAAAAGGAGCAAGATTTGTTTTTATTGATTATTCGGATTCAAATTCAAACTAGATATTTTTCTTTTTCTAAACTGGCAGAAGAGTGTCGATTGGAATTCGAATTCGACTGGCAATGCTAGTTAAATTTATATTCGAACTCAAACTAGACAGTTAGTCGAAAGTGCATACTGAATAAGTCGAAAATCGCAAAACGAAGAAAATAATAGCGATGAGTCTATTGTGCATGAGGAAACAAGGCAAATGAGAATCTAGTAAATATGGTAGCGTCATAAAATCACAAGAAGACATATTTGCTTATCAGCTCGGTATTCAGACCATATGTCATCCAAGAAAAAATACACTAATTTCTATTTTTTAAAAGTTCTGTTGATTTCAGCAATCTCTCATTGTTACATAGATTAAACTTGAGATGTTACTGATTATTATCAACAAGTGATAATTTAGAAAGAGAGGAAGCGTGAACTTTGACCTTTCACTGGATGGACGGCGGCGGCTAACACCTCTAGATGTGGGTGAAGATATGGCCTTTTCTAACATTTACACCCATGCTCACATCCTGCAAGCCAAAGACAATGTTCAATAACGTTCAATGACACATTTTCGAACAGAAGACGATCTTTTACATATGACGAGTTACTCTTTCAAATTCGCAAACACCAACCGAGGGCAGGTTAGACTCCAAACTCCATTTTTCACCCAAAATTGTGGACAAAGAAAAGCGCAGCATGTGCTTCAACCTTACATTTTCAAGAGTTCTTATGTCGATATTCTTAATCAGCATGGTCAACTTGATCGTACAGGACATGTCTGAAAAACGGATTTCGGAAAAAAAGTTTCAGCCATCTTCTAGAGAGTACAGAGGTCTGGAACTTCCATGTCATATTATGATAAATAACTATGCTAGAATGGTAGCCCGTGTCGACCTTATGCTCCTCATATAGTTATTACTGGAAAATTTCGTGAGCCAAAAAATGGTCTTAGGGTGTGGGTGTGGGATATGGGTAAAGAATATCCCCACATTCACACCCACATCCTCGTAAAATAAATTCATTGTTGAACAAAAAGACTTGCAGAACTCATATTTCAACGCAATACATTATACATATATATATATATTTAGAAACAAATAATTTATTTCACAGATCGCTACTTATTAATTTTATTTCTTTATAGATTTCTTTTCTTACAACAATGCACAAGGTAAATTTTTCTTGTTTTATTCTGTTTTTCTTGAACATAATACTTTATCTTTGTCTTTCAATGTATTAATGGATAACGTATTTCTGCATATGGAAAATATTCTTTTAAAGAATTCGAACATTTTAATTCGCCACTTAAATTTAATTTATTTATTTTGGCACAATTAATTCGTGTAGCATCTCTTGTGAAATTGTTTGTTACACGTTGTAAAGATTCATGATTGATATGAAGAATAATATTATATGGTAAATATGCTTTAGTATGAAATAGAAATTCTTCTATATAATCATCATGGACATCGATAATAACAAGTTCACTGAGAGAAGAATATTGAATAACAGGTAAGTTTTGATTATTATTGTTTGATTCATTCGATTTTTTCCGATTCTGTGATCTATTATTATTCAAACATACTTTTTGCATAAATGGAAATGATTGAACAATTCGAAGAAAAAATTCATGTCCGAAAGGATGTTCATCATATAATGACACCACACGAACATATTTGAATAATCCACCTCGGAAGTTATTTGAAATATCGCCGTAATATAGCATTACAGATGGATATGAATAAATATGACATCGACCTTGTTGTATCTCTGGAAAATAATCAACATAAGAAATAACTTCATTTTTTCCAAAGTCAATGAATGTGCGTTGAATATCTTCTGTTGGTGGCAAATTCAATTTATCACCAGTAAACATCGATGAGTTAATGTAAAATGTAAACTGATTTAATCTTGGCATACGATTAATAATGTTTTTCTTCAAATGGTTTCCATCAATAAATGTTTCATTAACATAGATCAGAAGACATAAATTCAACCGTTCTAGGTTTGACATTCGACATAGAAGTGGGAGGATTGTTTCATTGTAATGCAATGTTTCAAGATTACATGACAGAGAAAAACACTTTAGATTTGGTAAATCACCCTAAAATACAAAATTTGTTGTTATTTGAGAACAGAAGTTTTTCTTGTAAAACTAACTCGATTTTCCATTTCTTCTGGAATATGAATATAACCCAAGTCAACAGAGAATGAGTAAAGTTGATTAAAACGACCATCGAGAATACAAAGACAATCATCAAAACATTGTACTCTGATATTCAATTTCAAAAGAGTTGAAGAACGAATATTAGGATGTAATGAATCATTAAAATTTAATCGAGCACAACTTTGATATGATGGTTCATATAATGCTAAAGCAGTCAGACGAGTGAAAACAGTGAAGATATAATAATATATGTTTGCCACTGACAATAGCATCTTATAATAATCATCGTTTTTATTAATTGTAATTAAAAGTCTTGTTATTTGATTTTTGAAAATATCAGATGAAAGAATTTTATCTAAATATATGAATACAATATTAGTAAGAAAAAAAGCTATGAAAATAATAGCAATATATTTCATGATCTAGGATTCTAGATTAATAAGTTTGATAAATTTTTCATTTTAGAATAAAAATAATTCAATTATTATTTCTTACCATTGAAAAGGCATTGAACTAAGTTTTCGTTAATATTATAAAGGCCGAGACCATATAAATTAGGATAATCAGTAGCATGCAAAACATGTTTCATATGTGATGATTCAAGATGAAGCCATTCGATTTTATCATGAATTTCAGGTAAAATTTTTGAACAAAATCGATCACGTATCATATCATTACGCAATTCACTGCCAAGAAATAAACTATTTGTAAAAACTGAATCGTGAACAATTTTATTTAGGCGTTGATTGACACCTAGTAAAGAATAAAGTACTTCAATATTATCCAGTTTTTTGAAAATAATCATAAGAATTTCATCAGCTAAATCATTTAATCCAAGGCATGAATATTCCATGTTTATATTCATCTATCTATTCTTTTCAACTTATGAAGGTCAACATTTATATGCGTACACAACATTCATCTCTTCTCCGTGACCGATGTCGTCAATAAAAACAATAACACATTATTCTCTGGGCGAAATTGATAATGAATAAATGTATATGATTGAAACAATGTTAAGTTATTTCTTTGTCTCCTTTGTCTAATATGTCATATATATGATAACAGTGATACTGGTTTTCTAGTGTGTATTTTTATCGACACTTGCAGCGTTCAGTTGAGAC